TATATATATATATACATATATATATATCCTCCTTGTCCCCGACTGCAGAAAAAGGTCAAAAATATTGGTCCCGCCCACACTTGTGATGTTACCAACCATGTCTCTTGTTACAAAAGTACAATGCCTGGCTAGAAAGAAATCCCATTCCTAGCTCTTAAAGGCTGTTCCTATGGTATTCATTATGGGCAAATATTTTTCTCCTGACCTAGCTGGGAAAGCGGTCTTAACATGGCAAAAGACATTGGTGAAGCGCTTGCAATGAGGGATTTCAATTTGCTTCATGCAGGCTAGGTTTACAGAATGTAATCTATATAGTCTTTCTCAACTGAATACTTCCAGATATGTTGGAAGATAACTCAGAATTCCCAGACAGAATTGCTAGAGGGGATTCTAATAGGGAATTGTGACAGTTGTATTCCCTGTACACCTGAAGGACACCAGATTAGGGAAGGCTGAATCAAGGCACTATTTCTAGATGCAATTAACTGCTCTAAGACAGAATTATTTAGTGTGGAGCTGACATAAGATAGTGAACATACAATTTCTAGATGCAATTAGTTGCTGTAAGACAGAATTATTTAGCATGAAGCAGGCATAAGAGCAATGACCATGGTTTTAATACCAGAAAACTTCAAAATGTAGCTCAAGAGATAAATACAGCTAAACCACCTGGGAGCAGTACTTGCAATAGCACTGAGCTCTGGCTTTGATGTAACTGGAAAGGTGCCTAGAAGGTTCAATATTCACATCTCGCAATTCAAAAGATAAGAATTTTTAAATAAAATAATTTTAGTTATAAGAAAGGTGAAAGTCCAAATTAGTAGGGATCAGATCTCTTTAGGGGATCTGCAAGTTTTGTTTAAAACTTTTGCAATAGGGAATCAGAAAAAAAAAATTATGTCACAAATTAGGAGGATGATTAACTAATCCAAGAGGATGCCAAGATACATAAATACTAAGGTCAAGGAAACTCTATTGATGAAAAAGTTACTTTTAAAAAAAGTAGATACAGATGAACAAGATTTCTGGGAAA